ACTTGCCCCTACAGTCTGCTGAGGCTACACGGGGGACCTGTGCCTGTGTGTGTAGCTACTACTAACAGCACTTGCCCCTACACTCTGCTGAGGCTACACGGGGACCTTTGCCTGTGTGTGTAGCTACTACTAACAGCACTTGCCCTACAGTCTGCTGAGGCTACCTGGGGGATCTGTGTCTGTGTCTAGCTACTACTACAGCACTTGCCCCTACAGTCTGCTGAGGCTACACGGGGGACCTGTGCCTGTGTGTGTAGCTACTACTAACAGCACTTGCCCCTACAGTCTGCTGAGGCTACACGGGGGACCTTTGCCTGTGTGTGTAGCTACTACTAACAGCACTTGCCCCTACAGTCTGCTGAGGCTACACGGGGGACCTTTGCCTGTGGTGTGCTACTACTAACAGCACTTGCCCCTACACTGTGCTGAGGCTACACGGGGGACCTTTGCCTGTGTGTGTAGCTACTACTAACAGCACTTGCCCCTACAGTCTGCTGAGGCTACACGGGGGACCTTTGCCTGTGTGTGTAGCTACTACTAACAGCACTTGCCCCTACAGTCTGCTGAGGCTACGCGGGGGACCTTTGCCTGTGTGTGTAGCTACTACTAACAGCACTTGCCCCTACACTCTGCTGAGGCTACGCGGGGGACCTTTGCCTGTGTGTGTAGCTACTACTAACAGCACTTGCCCCTACAGTCTGCTGAGGCTACACGGGGGACCTGTGCCTGTGTGTGTAGCTACTACTAACAGCACTTGCCCCTACAGTCTGCTGAGGCTACGCGGGGGACCTTTGCCTGTGTGTGTAGCTACTACTAACAGCACTTGCCCCTACACTCTGCTGAGGCTACACGGGGGACCTTTGCCTGTGTGTGTAGCTACTACTAACAGCACTTGCCCCTACACTGTGCTGAGGCTACGCGGGGGACCTTTGCCTGTGTGTGTAGCTACTACTAACAGCACTTGCCCCTACAGTCTGCTGAGGCTACACGGGGGACCTTTGCCTGTGTGTGTAGGGAGAGGGCGCCAAGGTGTTGGACGCGAACGTGGCCGGCATCCTGGAGCCGCTGCTGCTCAAGCACTGGGCCCTGAAGCTCGCCACCAACGCAGCCACCACCGTGCTGAGCGTGGACCAGGTCACCACCACCACCACTATCACAACCACCACCACCACCACTACCACCACCACCACAACCACTATCACTGCTCAAGCACTGGGCCCTGAAGCTCGCCACCAACGCAGCCACCACCGTG